CCCCCTCCCCCTCGATCGCACTCTTGTCTCTGACATGGACTCCCTCCTGCGTGTGTCTTGCCCAGATGAGCTTGATCGTCGGATTGTGGAGGCTGTCCGGCTGTCCGGTGTCAAGGCCATCGTCGTGGACGGCTGGTCCCGGCGGTCCAAGGAATCGCGCGAGCCGCAGCCCGGGTCGCCGAGCCTCGGCACGCCGATGCCCGTGGCCGGGTCGTGCATCCACCTGGCCACCTGCCCCGGATCCTCGGGGCCAGCGCACCAGGAAATTGCCCCCGGCCCGGGCGGGGCCATCACCGCGGCCTCCGGTCGCATCATCGGCGCCGGGACGTCCACCGTGCAGCTTGCCACCTCGACGGTGTCCTCGGCCGCACGCATCCTCGGCTCGGCCTTCTCCGGGATCTTCTACGCCCCGAACAGCGGCGCCACCACCGGGACCGATTACGACAGCACGCTGCCCTATGGGCTGGGCGGTCTGACCATGGAGGAGCTCCTGGCCACGGAGGACTTCACGCTGCCGGGCGGCAGCGGCAGCGGGCCCGGCATGTCGTCCGAGGTGGCGGAAGAGCTCCTTCACCAAGGGATGGAGCATTTCCTTCGCGACATGCAATCCAATTACCTGACCGCCGAGCATGAGCTCTCCCTGCCGACCAGCTCCATTCGCCTTGGTGGCGGGTCATCCTCCGAGTCCCTGGCCACATCGCGGTCTGCCTCATCCGCCAGCCTGGCCGACGAGGAGGCGGCTCTCTCGGAGGACACTCCCGGGGCCGGTGGCATTTGCGATTCCAGCATCGAGTTCCCCTCGCTGTCGGAGGATCTGTTGAATGTGACCGGGCGTGATGGCGGCAGCCCCGGAGGCTCGTCGCCTGCCGTGCACCCGGCCCCCGGCGGCCGGACGGCCAGTCCCCTCCCTCGGATGTCCTCATCAGCCTCGCCGAATGTCGATGTCGACGACGCGGACTATGTCATCAGCGATCTGGTGTACAATGAGGCGCGCTTTGCCTCGGCGCTGGGCAAGGCCGAGGCGGTGGACCCGACCGGGGCCACTGCCGGCCCCGGGATGCCCCCCGCTGCGGGGACTTCGGCCGGGCCCGCCGCCCCTGGCCATCATCATCACCACCACCACCACCACCACCACCATCACCACTTGGCCGCCGAGCCCCAGTCCGCCGGGGGAGCCGGTCGATCGGGATCCGCCAGCGGGCCGGCGACTGCCACGGGAGAGGCGCCCGAATGCGCCGAGTCTCCCACCTCCCGAGCCGAGGCGGCCGCCCATGCCAAGGGTCGGGAGCCATGTTGCTCGAATGGCCTGCCCCCTGGGGTCACCGATAGTGCCAGTCTCGGGACCTTCTTCCCCTCGCACCCCCGGCGGGCCCCGGAGTCGGACTTCATCTATCGCATGGCCGGGGCCCCGCACGACCGACTGTTCCCCCTGTGTGATGCGGTGGTGCACCATGGCGGTGCCGGTACCTCGGCGGCTGGCATCCGTGCCGGCCTCCCGGCCGCCATTTGTCCCTTCATGGGGGACCAGTTCTTCTGGATCAACCAGCTGGGCCACCGTGGCCTGGGCGTGGCCTTGCGTCTTTCACGTAAGGATCTTCTGTACTCGGATTCGAAGCCAGCCCCGACCGTGTGTCCACTGCACCCGGTCCCCGTGCCAGGCGCCCGGCCAACGGGCCTCACCGCCAGCGATCCATTCGCCGGGCAGAAGCCCACCGCCAGCGAGGATGGCCCCTCCCCGACTTGTCCCCCTGAGCAGGGCCCCCCGGCGAGCCGGCCGCCTGGCCCTGGCGCGAGCCCCTCGGCCACCGGGCCCAGCCCGGGCGCCACTCCGGAAGTGCCTCCTACCAAGGACACCCCCTCGACGGCGGGCTCCGGCTCCGGGCATTCGGCTTCGTCCTCCTCGGTCTCCGCCTCGGCGGGGGCTGCCCTGCCGGCTGCCAGCCAAGCCCCGCTGGCGGCGCTCCCTCTGGACGAGGGGGTCTTCCGCATTGCCACGGTCTTGCGGCTGCTGAGCCTGCCGGACACGCCGATGCGCCGGCGGGCGGCCTGGCTCGGTCGTCGTGTGCGCGCCGAGACCCCCTGCGAGAGTCTCACCACGCTGCTGAACCTGGAGTTCGAGCACCAGAGTAGCCTGCTGCAGGCGGAGTCCTTCGTTCTGGTGAATCACACGCTGACTCCCGGGCAGCTGGACACTGACCAGCGCCCGGTCTTCGCCTCGGACCTGGAAATGCCCACCGAGTCGCTATTCTCCTTCGACGTTGCTTCCGAGACTCGGGGGTCCGGTTCGTCGGTCGCCGCATCGATGTCGGCAACAGCCCCGTCGGCCCCGACTCCGGGTGCCGAGATCCCGGGGCCGGGGGATGGCATTCCCGAGAAGCAGGCGACCGGGGAAACGGAGGCCAGCGGTGATGGCGAGCCCTCGGCGACCGGCACGCCACCCCCATCATCATTGGGCGATGACCTTCTCCGTCCGTCGACACCACCGCCGCCCCCCTCGAGCGAGTGAGCTTGCATCCCAGGTGGAGGGGGAAGGGTGATGGGGGACCATTGCTTTGTTGTTGTCTTTGCCAACTCCCCCTTCCTTTGGTATGTATGTCACTGCGTCCTTTGCGCCTCCCCTGAGGCGAAAGAAACCCAAACGTGAAATGCGCGCGCGCGTGCGCGAGTGTGTGTGTGTGTGTGTGTGTGTGCTGTATAGGCGTTTGCCTTTCCTTGCTGCGAGCCTGGGAATCTATTGGAAAAATGAGGCTGGGTCCAAGGGTCTAGTTGGAGGGGGGCCCGGTGCCGGAGGAGGATGATCCACCCGGCGGGGAAGGATGCAATGGGACCGAGCTCGGGGCCGGGGCCGGGGCCATGGGCAGTGACGATGGTGGTGATGGTGGCTGGGGCCGGCTCGACGAGGCATCCAATTCTGTGATCCCCAGCAGCGGAACCACCTTGCTGGCAGCCGAGAAGGCCTCACCTATCAACAGGCGCGGGCGCTTGGCGGGGGAGATGGACTCCGGGGCGGTTGAATGTGACAGCCCGGTGGGGATGCCCGATTTTGAGGGCTTTCGCTTGGGAGTACTGACCATCGGCTGGGAGGGCGTCGATGGATCGGCCGTGGGCTGGATGGCCGAAAGTCCACTCGGGTCCGTGGGACATTTGGGCGCTTGAGGCGCGGGCGGCTTGGCAGCCGAGGTGGCCTTGGGGGCACTCGCGGCCGGGGGAGCTTTCTTTTTACTCCCGCCGGAAGTGCCGGCCGACGATGTGGTGCTGCCGGTCGATGGACTCCCCTTGCTCGAACGCAGGGCCGCCACCAGGGCCTCCTTGGCGCGGGCCGGATCACGGCGCTTGGAGAAAGCCAGCAAGTACATCCCCAGGGCCATGGTGGGATCGGTCCCGGGACGAAGCTCGGTAAGGGCCTTCAGCCCGTGGAAGATGGCCGGGCCGACGCAATCGAGGAACAGTCGATCCGAGAGGCTGGCCCACTGATTGGGCGGGCCGGGCGTTTTCAGATCACCAGGCAGACCGGTGCGCGACACTTGCGACCAGTCTTCCGGTTGAACCCCGAGGCTCGTACAAACGGCAATGCAGTCCTGCCAAGCAGCGAGAGTTGGCCGAGAGGCCGAATTCCGGGGCTTTGCCGGGGCACTGGGTGCGGGCTTGCGTTTGTCATCAAGAGATTCACTCGAGGAGCTGTTGGCTGAGGGGGCGCGCATGCTTGAGGGGGTGCTGGAGGGGGCGCCAGAGGGGGTGCTGGAGGAGGAAGAGAAGGAGGATGAGGAGGAAGGGGAAATGCCGGGGACAGCGGCCACAGCCACGGCCGCACTGGGGTCCGATGCCGATCTCGGCGCTGGAGGCGTGCGTAGAGGCCCCTCGAGCTCCGGCGCCAAAGCCGGCACTGCAAGGCCGGCTCCGGGGGGGGAGGTGGCCCCCCCGGAAGCTGGCACCCCGACGGGTGGCCGGTCGTTGGGCATTTCCCTCAAATCAGGAGAGACGCGAGGCCGAGGGG